GTAAAGGAGCCCTTTTAAGAAATGTCTCAAGTTGCTAAGTGATCAAATGGATATTTACATTCGCTGAAGACTCACAGATTTGACGATAGCTAATTTGGATGTCTTATGAAGCGAGTATTAGTCCTAGCTTTTACTGCTACCCAAGGAATGCAAAATATATTGCTAGCGAAGAGTCTTTTTAGCTCAAAAAAATAAACCAACCGTACGAATTAAAAAAAAAAAATACTAACTTTTCTCGAGAACTCCATTTTTCTTGAACCGTATTGTAGGCAAAGCAAATAAACTTAAGCGAGCAGCGGCTTGTGCGGGTATTAAGAAATTTACTTTTTTTCAATCACAAGACGCGAAAACTGGTAGTGCAGGGTAAAAACAGAAATGATAGGGGCGGGGGAGGTTAAATTAGTCAGTTAGGGCTAGAGTAGCTGAAACTTGTTGAGAAGTGTTTGGGCCTAATCAGTCGGTGTCTGGTTAGCCAGTTTTACACATTGAATTAGCTAGTAAAAAGGGCTTTTTAAAAAATATCGCAATTTCGATCAAAGGCCTGCTGCCGCTTTTATGGATACGCGCCGATTCTGGATATAAAAAACCGTGGCAGGACATTTGGTTTGTGATCTGTGCTAAGTGCATCAATTTTTATGTGCCGATAAGAGCATATTCGATGTAGTGAAAGCACTGCAACCGTTTCGCATTATTCTGTGCTTTCTAATGCCCGCATGCTGCGGTCTTCAAATAAAAATCTGTTCTGCTTTTGTAAATATGCAACCCGTTGTAGTTTTCATGCTGTCCTAGGGTAGCTACTTAAAAAACGGCTGCTGCTTTTTTTGTTGTACCACTCTTACAACCAACAAAAGTAGCATTAAAAGATGCTCGCATTAAAGCTGCCAAGCGAGCAAATGGCTGTTCACTGTGTACTATGATTTTGAAGAACCATTTCAAATCGTTGGCTCGATCAGCGTGCAATTTTAAATCGAACCAGTAATATCGCTAGCGTTCCAGGCCGCCGCAAATTAGGAAAATTGCCGTTTCTGTCCAAACGGCAACCACTGCATTTTGCGCCCCGTTAGCCTAAATATTATCCTTCTCATCGCTTTGGAGCTAAATTCAGAAATTTCAAGTCCATTTTTCCTCAGTTAGCACCAGTTCCGCATTTTCAAACCGATTTCTTAACCATTTTGGCTAAATATTGCATTTTCACTAATTTACTTTTGCCTTGTTCTGGCGAAACTTTACTTCTGTGTGGCTAGATTTTGTGTCTAACTATACAAAATTTCATGTCACTGGAAAAATTTTACATCAGCCTGTTTGAACCATGTGCTTACAGTCTCTGTTTTGCACCTTTTTATTAGGAAAATCATTTTTTGAAATTATTTTGAAAACAATGGAATATGCTGACGGGAGAAGTAGTGGGGAGGTAATATTGCTGTGGGGCAGCTGGATCGGAGTTCGACCCCACATATGGAACAATCAGTTCCTCAGCAATTCTCTTATTCATCTCGGTGGTAAATTGATACTGACATGTGGCAGAGAGTCAAACCCGCCAACAGCTTACAGTTCTTAAATGGGGATATTGTGCGGAGCCTTGCCTGCAGATGGTTGCTCTTTGCAATTGTCATCGCTTGTGTTGCTTCCCGAGTGCCCCCGCTTCTTACAGGGAGTAGGTGCGAAGGGGGTTTTACCTTTGTCTGATGGTGAAGTAATTAAATTGCAACTGAATAATTTGAAGCGATTATGCCAAAATTGGCCATTACTTCTTAGCCTGTCCAATGATTATTGGAGTTGCAAAGTAAATATCTCGGAGTCGAGCAATCGGTTTTGAATGATACTGAAAATAAGCTTGATCATGCTTGCAAAGAAAAATTTGGACTAATTCTTCGAAGATTAAGAAAGTCACAAACTGTGGAGCCGGGATAATAACTCATTTAATAATTTGGGAAAATTAACTAAAATGGGCCCCAAGTCTTGTCATAACATAATCTATTTTTTCGGATCTATATTTCGACTAATTATAATTCAGTAATGAAGTAAGCTAAAGCTTAAAATTTTTGTGCATTATTTTCTCAAAAAATTGAGCCGAGTATCATAGTATTCTAGTGCGTTATTTCAGAACCAAATTAAATACAACTTTACAAATTTAGAGAAAAAAAATTAGGAGTTTTCGTGATTTTAATTAACCTCTTAAAGCAGAACAAGTAATTGATCCGAAATGCAAATCCTACCGTTTTCTTACTTATGATCGTATACCCAACATTATCCAGTGGTTCCAAAGTGGAGACACCATCGACCAAAAATTTCGGGCTTTTTATGTGTTGGACTGATTGAAAGCAAATCATGACAATTTTCTGCATTCGCCTGATGCATTCACTTCCTCAAACACGCTATAACTCATTTGTTAAAAAAAGCTTATTGTTTAAAACATTTTCCTGAATATTTTATGTCCCCATAAGTAAAAAATTCAGTAATTGTTGAAGTTAGAACAGTATTATACTGCTTTCAACTGTTTTTTTTTTTGCTTTATGGCATTCCTTGTCAAGATAGTAATGTCTTGTAAGTAAAGGTCGCAAATTTCCAAGTTTCGGATCAGAAATTTTCGGAAGCCAAAAGTTATGCATGATTCCTGAATATTTTATATTTTTGTACGTAAAAAATTTAGTAATTCCGGCGCAGAATGACTTAGAGT